AATGAGCTAAATCACTACCTTTAAATAAAACAGGGTTAAAATTTATAATGTATTTTTTCCACTTATACCACTACAGGAGTATGCAAACATAACATTTACATCATTGTAGCAGGGCACTAAGGTGCCTGCTACTTGGAGAACTGGGATAACCACCCAGGTGCAGGTTGCCAGGGCAACCTGAGGGAGATAAGGACCCACACCTGCCTGGTCAGCTGGCTGAAAGGAGCAGGGCCTGGCTTCTATGTAAATTCCAGGCTGAGGCCAGGCAGAGGGTTCCCTGCTGGCAGCCAAAGGGGAAGGAACTCTGCCAAAGCAAGAACAGAGAAGAGGCCAGAATGCATGAGCAGTTAGTACAGGCAAAGGATGGAGCACCCTTCGGGGTGGCTCGAGTCATGTTGTAGTCAATTGGCAGAGACTTATGTTATAGCCTATGGGCTTGTGTTTCATTTGTTTACTGTTTACGACTGGTGGTTTAGGTGAGGCTATTAGGGGTTGGAGGAGGCCTCATAGAGGGGACCCACAGCAGAGTGGGAACCCCAGCCCCAGAGCAGGAGGCAGCAGGAGAAGCCCCAGTGAAAAGGGGTCAGTGATTCTAGAGTGCCCAAGAAGGCACAGAAAGAGAGACAGGGCTGTGGAGAGCTCAAGAACCAAAGAGAATATAAGACTAAACAACATCCGGTACACCAGCAAGGCTTGGGGCATGGTACAAGAGTGGTTGGAGCCATGCATAGCCCATAAGGCTGTGGCACACAGGAACACCCATTAGTGCAACAGGGCTGATGTACTGCAGGAAAACCGTGTCCAGGGAGATGAAGAGGCAGCCTCCCTATAACCTATACATATAAGATCAAAGACATGGTGGGAGAGAATTAGGGGTGCTTTGTAGACAACTTGGACACAGTAAGGGGCGCTAGGGGAGTGCACAGTGACCCTAGGATGCCCCATCTGTTACAATCATAACAACTTATACCACTATCATTAGATTCCAGTATAAGTGTTATATCTCTCTATAGCCTTAAACCATGCTAGAATGTTACCCCTGATTCACTCAGGAGTAATCTTCCACTGGATTAAGTAACTTTATCTGAATTTAGGTTTTTGGGAGGCTTTTTTACACCATGGCAATGCTAATTACATAAATACAATATTCAGCATCCTTCTGTCACAAGGGCTTTTTTATGGGACACCAGCCCACTCTTCACTTTCAAATATCTCTCGAAGTCACACATCTCACCACAAATACACAGGATACAGAGGAATGGATTGGGGATATTAATTCTCAGAGATTTTGTGCATGTCAGGCCAGTTACCTCTCACTTGCATGGATCCAATTTCATAAGGCCCGATTTTGCCCTCTGTTACTAGAGTACAATATTGGCATTACACCAGTTACCATCAGTACCAGTAGTGTATCTGGTATTAAACAGACATTTTGTAAAATATGTGATCAAACTTGGCACTCCATTCCTACCAGGATAGTACCTTCTCCACAGACTCAGGATTTTTCCCACTATCTGTGCTGCTGGCCCTGTGACTTATCTTTTTGGCTTTCTGGTAGACCAGGTTCAGCTAGAGAGGCGTCATCTTAGTCCTGTAACTTGTTGGTTAGGGATACTTTCGGATATAGGAGATGTGAGTTCAAACCCCTTCAGATTAAGAGGGGGGGTGGGGTGGCTAGAACCCATATCCCTTATTTTGAGCAAGTATTCTAACCACAGATTATTTATGGTGGAGGATGAGCTTTACACAAAATCAGCATTATCAGTTAGGTAGATGCTGTCATCCATATTGGTATCTTTCTACTTAGTTCATAAATCCTGTTATGACATCTGTGTGTTAAGTGGTCAAGACAAAGTAGAAATCTTATCATACAGATATGTTTTCACATCTATTGAAACACCCATTCAAATGTATGAGAAGTTATATGCCTCTTGGACAGTAAAGAAATTGTCTGGGGTGGGATCTGAGAGTTTCCTCATTAAAATGAGTACAAAAGCTGTTGGATTCTGCAGAATGAAGTAGAAGACCAAGGAAAAAAATATCTGTGTCTGAGATGGATGAAGCTAGTTTTTGTATGTATTTTAAGTGAAGATTATCATTCAACTTTTCCTTCATTTCAGTAATTAATTTAGACACTGTCCTGTCAAAGGATGTGTGTATATATATATATATATATATATAAAGTATCTTTCTTTTTCAAGAGCTGAATTCCATTTCCACTGTCAGGACTTTCACAAATTCTTAAATGCAGCTTTAAAAGGCTAATTTATTATCCTTTACTTTCAGTCAAAAAAGATTCAAGCCCAGCTGAAGGAGCTTCGCTATGGGAAAAAGGATTTGATTTTTAAGGTGAGTTTATATCAAAGTTGGCTAAAGTATTTACTTATATTCAATATAACAGTGAAATCATCTGACAGCATAACAACTGCCTTTATTGCTGAAATGTTAGAGAATCATTTCCCCAACTGT